AAAAAAAAAAAAAAAATTGCCCCTTTTCATGATGCCCCAATTGAGGAACGCCTAGGAGGCTGCCTATCCAGGGTCTTGCCGATGGGTCACGGGTTCTCTTTGTCTGCAGAGCTGGAGAAGGAGCTCTCCCGGAGGCCCAAGAAGGTCTGCATCGTGAAAGTGGTGGGAACCCGGAACCTGTGGAAGAACATCGTGGTCCTGTGTGTGAACTCGTGAGTCACAAGAGGGACACGAGCAGGGTGGAGGTCAGGGAGAGGCTGGAGAAGAGAGTGTCTGGAGGGGAGGCCGGCAGGGCCCTCCTTCTCCCACAGCTGCATCTTGAATTACAGCTACAACTCGAGGGCCTCTGGTCAGCCCAGGGCTTCATGCTTGACCACGGGGCCCTGGATAAGTCTGATAAGCCCCAGGGTCCCTGTGTAGACCAAGAAGGTCTTTCCCATCTTGACTCACAGCTCAATAACCCTGCCCTTCCCTGACCACACAGAGTGGCCCTCACTCAGGGTCAGAGGTCACCTCAGGTGAGGGAGGATGTTAACTCTCATTTGATGTTAGAGACTATTGGAGGGCAGGGGGCAGGGTTTGCAGTCAATTTTGAAAGGCATCAGGACTCCTGTCCTGGAAAGAGTCAGGCCTCTGTTCCTACCATTCCCCATGGCTATTTCTATCAAAGCCACTCCACTTCATCAGTTCTCGATGTTGGGGCTCCTCCTGTCACCCTTGTCCTACAGACAAGGACATGGAGGCCCTAGCCACTCCGTTGGTCAGGGCTCGAGCCCTCAGGCTTCAGCCTCCCTGCCCAGAGTCGGCTCCAGACATGGCCACCGTGCTGCTGTCCAGTCTCAGGCAGATGCCGGCTAGGCTAATGGGACCATTACAAATGGAGTGCCTTTTCCAACTTTAGTTTGGAAAAAAAACACAAATTGTGACATAGGGGAGATGCCAAGTTTCTATTTTAATGCTACTTGTTTGGGGAAAGGGGGATCAATCTCTCTGACCTTGTTATCTTAAAATTACCTGTTATGATCCAAAGACTTCCTTCTTACCAGAACAAAAAGACGATTTCTGTGAGACCTCTGTAGGCCAAGAGACAGAGAAAGTCATCTGGGATCCCCAGAGATTAACCGAATCTCCCCAGTTGCAAGATTATAAAGCGACTGCCCCAGCAGGTCCTTTGCTGAGTATGTCCCAAGTGGAAATGAGTTCATTTGGCAAACAGCAGCTTCCCCTGTGGGGGCAAGGCTCTGCCGCAGTTGACCTTGATGCATCCTCACAGTTTGATGAAAGCACTTTGATTTCCCCAAAGCACGGAAGTGGGGGTTGGGAGAGAAGGACATTTGTCACTCTGGGGTGGGTGCAGAGCGCTGATGCGCTCCCACAGCACTGCCCATGCCCTGAACATGCACTTGCAGCCTCCCAGGTGCATGCGTGCATTCGTACCCCTACCCCCCCCCCCCCCCCCCCCCCCCCCCCCCCCCCCCCCGTCTCCCCAAGTGGACATCTGTCTCCAGCGGGTGGGACACACATTTCCCAGCAGGTTTATACGAGCCTCTGGAGGCGATAGAGAGGCTTGACCCAGGGCAAAGGGAGGGAAACGATGATAAATTAAGAACTGAAACAAAGTCTCTAAAACCAGGTGTCTTCATTTGGCCTGGCTTCCTGCTGGCTTCCCCAGGGTGTGTTTGTCAATAGCAGCAGGAATGGGTTAAGCAGGTAGTTCTCTGGGTGGATCCCCAAGTTTCCAGAACCCTGAGCACTGAAGGAAAAGTCAGAGGTCCAGATAGGCAGTATGTCTAGTAACCTTCTGCAAGCTGCTTACCCTCTTTAAGCCTTTTTTCCCATCTCTAAAATGGGTCTGACAGCAGCTCTTACGGTGCTGACATGGGATTAAGTGAGTTGACGAATGGGAGCGCTTTGTCTTACATGTTGGATCCATTTGATGGTGTTTGAACAGAATGTCTCACCGCTTTCATGCTCACACTCTCTGCTAAAGTGATGGTGAGGAGAGTGATCAGGCACCCCCATGAGAGGGCTGCTGCTGTCCTTTCTCTGAAGTCTCTTTGCATTGCACCCCATCAGACATGCGGTCGTGGTAACAGCATGTTCTCTGTGATGTGTTGAGCTGCATGTCTGTTTCCTGGTCACTGAGCCCTCCTGTCCTTGTACGCCTGCACACCGCCCCCCTCGGTGTGTGCGTCTCCCACAGGCTGACGGGGTACGGGATCCACCACTGCTTTGCAAGGAGCATGATGGGCCACGAGGTGAAGGTGCCGCTCCTCGAGAACTTCTATGCCGACTACTACACCGTGGCCAGCATCGCCCTGGCGTCCTGCCTGGCTATGTGCGTGGTGGTCAGGTTCCTGGGGCGCAGGGGAGGGCTGCTGCTCTTCATGATCCTCACCGCCCTGGCCTCGCTCCTGCAGCTTGGGCTGCTCAACTGTGAGTGGGGGTTGGGGGTGCGGATGGGCCACGGGGGCAGAGCCTGGGGGAGGGGAGCTGGCCTGTGACCAAAGGGTGTTCAGCAGAGCTGGGGGAGACTTTAGGAAGTTTTCTGTGACCCGAGCTATTATTCCAAAGCCAACAGCTTGAGGGAAGTACCTTGGGAAGGACAGATTTTAACTGGAATATCCATGGTGACTGTCCCTGAGTGCACTGTGCCTTTCCCCCTCCTGCCCCAGCCCAGCCCCCGGGCTGCCACTTGGAGCCTTCCTTCCTGGGTTCACCACGATTCCCTGCACGTGAGGCCTTCCCAGTCCTGGTGGACATGACTTCACTGACGGCCAGACTGTTTCTTTGTGACACATCACATGACCAGAAGAACAAAGCACTCTTTCATGGAAAACAAGGGGGACATTTGGACACCCCTGCATCGGGACACTGCTTGTCAGCAGATGTTCCCAAGTTTACCAGCTTGCGTTTGGGCCAAAGAATTCCTCAGTAAATGTTAAAAATAATTTAAATGAAAAAGAGGGAATCCATGTAGCGCCTCCAGCTGTGGGAGGCGTACTTGGTACAGCTCCTCGTGCATGGAAAAGGCACCAGGCATCTCTCTCTGACCTGCCCAGAGCGAGACACAAAAGAGCCGGGCAGCCAAGCCTGCTCTGAGCAGGCGCAGTCCTCCTGGGACAGGCTGGGACACTGCAGGAAACAGATGCCACCGGTCATCCCCCAGCTTCACAAGGAGAGCCAGGAATCAGACTCACGACTGTCCTGGTGCAGTGGGGCTTCGGGGAAGACAGCCTTCACGTCATCCACGGTGCGAGAGTCTGTATCCAGAACAGAAAGAAAAACTCCACACTTTCTCAACCTCATTGTGCAAACCGGATTAAAGAGCAGCTACTTGCAAACCCAGGAGCCCTTTCGCTAATTTGGTCACATCCTCATGCACTCCGTATCTTGATGGGAGACTGGTCTTATTGTCAGCTGTGACCAATAAGGAAATGGAGAAGTGGCAACTGGCTCCTGACCATCCCATCCCCTTGTGCAAGCTCATGAGCTTTGGGTGACAGCAGCAGCCCCTGGGAGTGTCACAGAGGCCCTCTTTGTCCCTGAGCAGGAATGTCCCAGGCACTCCTTGCACACAAGTAACTATGAGTATCAGGGCTCGGAGCTCGCAGAAATGTCGCCTGACGGGTCTGCCCCTGCAGAACTTGCTGCTTCCTTGAGACCAGCAGTGACTCTGGGATAATTTTTTCACAATGAAGTTAACCCTTTGGCTTGAGGACTAGAAGGTGTGCTAGAGTCTCTGTTCTGAAGAGTTCCATTTTCTCCCCACACTTGGAGGGCAGAACGGTGTTAGCCCTCTCCCCTCCAAACAAAACGAGTTTTGTTTAGTCAGGTGCTAATCCCAGGGTCTGGGGACTCTGTTAGCCCCAGGTCTCCGTGTCCCTCTAGCACTTGGCCCCTCCATGGGTGTTGGTTCTGCTCCCCAAGTGGGCCTGGCGGGCTGGCAGTGGGGCCAACCCAGACGTGGAGGGGAGTTGGCTTAGAAACTGGTCCCATGGAAAAGCACAGTGACAGCTTTGTACCTAACATGCTTTCTCTCTCCCCTCTTTACCCACCTTCTTCACCCTCGTCTGCATGGGCCCAGTGATTGGGAAATACAGCCAGCATCCAGACTCAGGTGAGCCCCAAATGCCTGTGCTGTGAACATCACCATTTTTTATTGCACCCAAATACACGTTTTCATAAAGACTCACAGACCTGTGGTTTCCCTTCCCTCTCTCTTTCTCCTCCTCTCTTCCTACCCTTCAAGAGTTGCAGCTGAAGTTGGCCGTAGGTTGGACACTATAAGCATACATTTGTATTCTCTACTCCCTCTTGCCTCTAGAAAGAGCACCTCGTTTCCCCGTTTGCGCCCGGCTTGCACGCATGGCCTCACGTCTTCCGCCGGCATGGGCGGTCAGCACAGGGCACCCTGGTGCCGACGCAGTGCCACGGGCTATCTTTCGGACAGTGCCTGGGTGACATCAGAGAACCCCAGGGAGCATTGGAGGCCTGGCTGACTGTGCTGCCTGGGGAAGCTGCTATCCCCCTTTGTGAATCGTGAAAGCTCGCTGCTCTTGGCCACGGGGATGGCAGAGCTGGTGTCCCGCATCTTGCTGGTCACACACGCCTGGCCTGACCCGAACCCATGCTGCCAGGGCTTTCTGCAGCGGGCTCCCTGAGTTCATAATGCAGCCTTGCAGGGAACTGAGCTGTGCCCCACGTGTATGACCCCAACAGCATGCCAATACCCTGTGCTAGATGATGCGTGGGTGTGTGGTCAGACTCTGGTGCCATTTGCAAATGCCTGGATGGGTTAAGTCTGACCCTCTGGGCTGTAAATTCTTCTGTTTGGGCTATTTGAGTTTTATTCCCTTAAATCCAGCCTAGTAAACCCTGTCCTGTGTACTGGACGGGTCAGCCCTGAGGCCGGAATAGCAGAGACCTTCCTTCTCTGAAAGCTGGGATAGAAGGGGTGTTGCTAGAACACCAGGGAGACCAGCCTTCCCCTCTTTACCCACCTTCCCTCCTGCCAGGCCCGGCTTGTGGCCTAAGGAACTCTGGCAGAGTCCGCGTGAGCTCTAGCATTCGAGGCCCACAGGAAATCACGGGAACCCCAACAAAGTCTCCACCAAGAGGGTCTGACCTCTTACACCTGACGTGCTCCTCGGTCTCCAGAGGGAACTGAGTGCCCTAGTCTGCACTTCTACTGGGGAAGGAGGAAGACCCTTCCTGTGGTCCCAGGCCTTCCTCCCACCCCTGTCCCACTGCTGTCTCTGCACCCCTCCCCCACCCCCTGCCTGCCGTGCCAGCCTCCTTTTCCCTTCCCTCCTGCCCCGCTCACTGTCTCCCTCTGATTCTCCTTCAGGTATGAGTGATAGTGTCAAGGACAAATTCTCCATCACGTTTTCCATCGTGGGCATGTTCGCCTCCCACGCGGTGGGAAGCCTCAGCGTGTTCTTCTGTGCAGAGATAACCCCCACAGTAATCAGGTACGTAATGGGAGGTGCCTCCCCAGGGCATCTTCTTCCTAGGACTCAGGAGAGGGCGGGAGGTTTAGCAAGGCTTGTGTGGAATGAACCAGCATCAGCTTTGTCCCACCCTGGCCTCCGGATGAGGGCATGGCTTGTGTGCTGGGCCTGTCAGGGCTTCCGATGGGGAAATTTTCCCTGACTCTGAGGCAACCGAGAGTCAGCCGAGAACTTGACCCTGGGGTCCATCCAGGCAAGCAGCCTGAGGAACAAGGAGCAGGGACCTTTTCAGGGTATAGGAAGCTCGTGCTTAGCTACTTTTGTTTTAGTTCACAAGGTAAGGTTTGATCCTTTCTCATGCTATGCCCACATAGTGATACATGGATGCTCCATGATGCTATTAAGATCACAGCATAATAAAAGGGTTTCCCTTCATTTAAAAGGGCATCACTAAACTACAGAGTCGTGTCATTTTCCTGGTAATTACTGTTTGTGACTTATGGAAGAGCTCATCTTGATTTACATCACACTGAACTTTGCATGGGAATATCATTAGCATGTTTAACACACATGCTTTTTAAAAAATATAAATTGTGAATAAATCAGGCAGTTACTCAGCCATGAATTAAAATGCAGAAGTCAGCTTGATGCCACCCATCCACCCTTACTTGCCCACATGAGCAAACAAGTGGAGCCCAGTACAGTTCAAGGCAGGACTTGTGCAGACTAATCATTTTAGCCCCTCGGGTGCTGCATGGGGCTCTGGGAGCAGACAGGCAGGTTCATGGACTTTCTTCCTACATTTCCACGAGTCATGCTGACCAGAGAAATTTCACATGACCTCATTTTGCTTCATTCTCCTGGATTATTACAATACATGCCAAGGAACTGTATATTTAAGAAAAAAGCAATTAAATGCCAAGTAATTCATCCTGTTCCAACCCTCTGCTAAGCCAAAGTGAAGAGCCTAAAGCTTATTTCATGCTAGAGGTTGCAAAATGCCTTAGGCGGACAGCATCTCCCTCAGTGTCCTTTCTTTACCTAAATTCCCTTACTTTATGAAAGAATGCAGCAAAGAGGGTTCTTTCATTAGTGCCCAAGTCAAGGTTGGACCTTCTGGCTTTCCAGCTGGCCTCCCCGCAGATTTGTGTGATTATGTATCGTTCTCTGGGAGCGGCCAGCTACCCCTGAACTCTGGGAGTTGATAGACCTCATTAGTCATTGTTAGATTTTGCTTAACAAGCTAAACTGAAGGAAATACAGTATCCTTTTCCTCTTTGATGCAAACCTGGAAAGATTATTTGGGAATACAAATTCAACAACTATGTTCTTAGATTCGGCTTGCCAAGATGACAAACTGGAAAAAAATTTGACCTTTGGTGATGTTTTTGTACTTGCCGAGGATGAAAGGAAATCAAGTACAAAGGGGGTCTCAGCCCAGGAGGGAAGAGTTGCTGGTGTCACTCCCTTACCCTTCCCTTCAGAGTCTCTTTCTTGCAAATACACTCAGGGACAATTCCCATGGAGTCCCTGGACAATAATTGGCCTCCCTCCCCTCCCCCCACTTTACAAAGATAAATCCAAGATAAACTAGGATGAGCGGCTTGGGGTGTGTGAGCTTCGTTTTTGTTTTTTGTTTTTTTTTCTTTTTCTCATTGAAGTGTCATTGACATCCAGTGTTATATTAGCTTCATTTTTCTTCATACTAAACTAACCTTTTTTTACAAGGCTGTTATTAAAAACGTACCTTCTGAACCAGGACAGTAGCCAAGGTTAAGATGCCAGGATTAACTAACTAGAAGAAAATAGGAGGATAATAACTTTTTTTGAACAAAGGCTTGTGGAAATCCATTGTCCAAGAATGACGGAGACTCAGGGCACCTCTTGCTTTTTTGGCTCAGGTCACAATCTCCAGGCCTTGGGATCAATCCCCACCTTGGGCTCCGTGCTGAGCATGGAGCCTGCTTAAGATTCTCTTTCTCTCCCTCTGCCCTTCTCCCCCACTCAAGAAGTCTCTCTTTCATTCCCTCTAAAATAATTTTTTTTTGTTTTAAATTAAAAAAAAAAATTGACACTCACTAGAATCTAATGAACTGATTAATACCATTGTTTCATGAGACTCCATCCAGACTTTATATTACAGAGAAGCACTTCCCTCTGACCCAAGCGTGGTCCACATGCTGTTCATTTATCATCAGCTGATGCAACAAGTTCTTGGATTCTCTTCCAAAGGCTTCAGGAGTTACGTGCCTCTGCAGGCAGACAGGGACGAGAGAGAGAGAGAGACAGAGAGGGAGAACGAGAGGGAGAGCAAGTGAGAGAGGGGAAGACCTGTCTGCAGCACCCTCTCCCCTTTGGCTTGGTGAGAAGTGGCCAGGGGCCCTGGTTGGTCTACAAGCAGTTGGTGGCTTTTTTGTGCAAGATCATCTTTTCCATGCAGTGTCCATCTGGAAGCTGCAGGTGGGAGCCCCTGAGGCCTTTGCTGTCTTGCTCACCCCTCACAAAAGGGATCAGTTAATAGAGGAGGCAGGCACTGGTGATAACAGGCCCATTTCATTTTCCAACAATTCCACACAGATTCCTCAGAGCCCCTGGGCCTTGGCTGTTAATTCTCTGTTCTGTCTGAGCTTACCTAATCCTTCCTGGTGTCTTCTCCTGCTTTCCTCCCCTCCAGGCTATCTGACCCCTTTCTTCTAGAAACTTCTTTCTTGGAACTTGCCTTCTCGGAGAACTTCCTTCTGAGTAACTCCTCCCTACGCCCACGTCAGGACTAAGAACCTGGGCCCTGATGTCCTCCTCTCTAAAGTGCCTCAAGGACAGAGATGGCCTATGTGTAATGTGACATCTGGAGTCTGTTTAACCTTTCTAAAGATTTGTGTCTTACATAATCTACATACATACATATATTACAAATGCTGAGGACCAAGGAGCCAAGGCACACTGGCTAGTTCAAGAGCAGGGTGAGAACAACCAAAGTGCAGAGGATGTGGCCTAGAGCCTCAGACTCGCATCTCCAGCACGAGGAAGGAGTGACATGGAGCTGTGTGTGATCCCAAGGGCTGCTTTTCTGGGTGGCCTTAGGCAAGTCCCTCTGCCAGCCTTCATTCATCTCTTTTGCCCTAACATGAAACTCGTTATGACTGCCTTATTATTTGGCGGGGATGCTGAGGGGAAAAAGGATATATAGAAAGGATCCAGCCTCAGCAGATGACAGTTGATATTATTAATTATTCCTACCTGAATGTTGTTGGCAGTTATATTTATTTCTGTAAGAATTGGCACAAATTTTTGTTTACCCTTGACTTACAGAAATAGAGTAAAGACAAACTAAGTAATATAAAAGAGGAAGTGAAAACTGGGAGGTTTGTTCTGTTTAAATGCAAGATGCTGGGATTCCAGTGTTTAAAAGCATAATTTCAAGATTCTAGAATTCTTAATTTAAGCTTGCTACTTCTAACAGTCGGCCTGTGTATTAGTCTTTATATCTTTAATTTAGATACTATTACTAGTAACATAAAAGCCAGTGGATATTAAAATTTTTCTGCTTCTAAAGCATGGGGAGGCAAAATTTGCCCCCTGGTTCTCTTTTAACTGTAAATTGAGGTGGCCGCCTGCTGTGATATTTAAACATGGGCATATGCTGCCCTCTAGTGCCAATCTAAAGAAAAGCAAAAAATCACAGAGTCAGCATTTAGAAGAGGAAAATTAACGTAATGTTAATAATGACCCCATTCTCTAAACTGAGATTTCAGAAAAACAACACCAAGCCAAAAATGGTATACCAAATTCTTCCAAAAGCGTCCCTCACCTTCCTGTGTAATTTCAAAGTATCCTTGATAGAAAACCAAATAGCAAATTGCTTTCATGGAAAAAATATATAAAGATATACTGCGGGCGCCTGGGTGGCGCAGTCGGTTAAGCGTCCGACTTCAGCCAGGTCGCGATCTCGCGGTCCGTGAGTTCGAGCCCCGCGTCGGGCTCTGGGCTGATGGCTCAGAGCCTGGAGCCTGTTTCCGATTCTGTGTCTCCCTCTCTCTCTGCTCCTCCCCCGTTCATGCTCTGTCTCTCTCTGTCCCAAAAATAAATAAAAAACGTTGAAAAAAAAATTTAAAAAAAAAAAAAAAAGATATACTGCATATTATATATGCACATGGACTGCACCTTATATACACACACATATGTAGATACTTTTCTTAAATGAGCTAATCCTACCATAAATCAAATATATATGGCAGGATTTATTACATATTTTTATATTATGAAGTAAGACTTTCATGCCATGCCAACTTCTCTAACGGTGAATCTGTGAACCCCCTTCCTTGTGGGCCTGTGTCCTCTACCCTCCTGTATATTAACTCATGTGTGGACTTCATTTGCACTAAGCAAGTTAAGTCTCTCTCACTGCTAGTCAGTGCCGTCCACACTTAACGACAAGAAGGTCAGGCAGAAACCCAGAAGGTTTCAGAGAAAATGATGTCTCACTGGTATTAACAGCCCCAAGGAAACACACCCATTACCCCCAGCATCCAGTATGTCCCTTGCAGCATCCTGTGGCTTCCAGAGTGGCCAGAATTATCAAAAAGACTGAGTGGCTATTTTGGGTGTTCATATTATCCATCTTACAGATGGTTTTACTCACATCACCCTTCATAATGGCTGTCTATATTTAACCTACCCCATTCATTTGGGTGAGCTGACCTTCCTACCTAGGAAGCCAGTATAGTCCACAAGCATCCAATATTTATTAGGCATAAATAATACGTGCCAGTTGGTATTCTAGAAAATAATCCTTGCCCTTGACAAGCTCATAAACTAAATGAAGATGGTGAGCATATGAGGAAATACTAACAAAAAGGTACAGAGTGTCTTTAAAAAGTGGTCTGGGACTCTGCCTGGGAAGGAGGTTGATATTTGGGAGATCCTCCCTCTCCAAAATATTGCTATTCCTTATTTGTGTCCCCTTGTTGGCCCAGTAGCACAATGGTGTGACTATTCCTACAGTACATCTGGTCTCTCTCCCT